ACACTGCCCCCGAGATTTGCATACCGCGCCCCCCTATCCGGACCCTCTGTAGTGATCGGATCTACCCGAATACACAAGTCACAGACTTTGCTGATGACAAATGTCCACCTGGGCGCGACAGCTGTTCCCAAATTGTCTTTTGGTATTCAACAACTCTTTGTTCCCAATTTGTTTCTTCCCACTCTGTGATTGAATCTAGCCTTCTTCCATCTGTTCGCCCCCCTTGCTTTGACGTGATTACTCAAGAAAAGGCCCTCCGCCCAAACGGCCGACACCTCTGCGCTGAGTATGTCCAGACATGCACAAATTAACCAAAACTTTAAACATGATACAATTTTGTTCATAGATTTCTCTATCAACAAGTTTTAAAATCATTGATCCTGGTCTTATGTTTTTGTATCACAAAAATTTTGTATTTGGGTGTCAAAGCAATCAATGAGGAAATGTTGTGTTTGCTCTTTCAAAATGCTCGGTGTTGCAGAAAGAGGATGTGCCTTGCCAAAGCATTTGTTGAAAACATGTTGGGGCATGGACGTCCAAACTTTTTCCACTGAGGGCCATGTATGGGAAAATGAAAGGAAGGGGTGGGCCACTTCATTCTACTGTTGTTGAAACATGCTAAAATCATTACAATATAGAGGAGGTCAACAGATGCTAATCGGTTCAAAGTACAGTATTGAAAGTTTGCCACCTCCCCCAACTTTCAAAACATTTAACTGCGCCGTGTGTCGGGGTGACAAGACAAATAGTAGTTTTGGCATGACACTTTTTAAATGTAAAAATTATTTTGTAACTTAACCTTTCAATTTGTTTAAGTTTTATTTTCAATAGTAAAGCAGCCAATATCTTGCAACAATCAACTATTTTAAAAAATCTAAAATAAAAAGTAGTGTGATACATTGGAACATTTTATCAAAAAAAGAAGCATAAAACATGTCAGGAAAGTATATTAGATCGATTGAACTTGAGGTGGGATTATTCAGGGGCACTTTTAAATTGTGGTGTGTGCTGACTTGTTGAAAATGTGATTAATAATTGAAAACACAGTTTTGTCCCCAGTTGAGAGGAGACAACCACAAAATTGCAGTTATTTTTACTTCCTCCCTCGAAAAGATTTAAAAATATATATTTTCAATTGGGTATGAGGTTACATGTCACATTTATGCTGCGAAGTTTTGAAATGATTTATCTTGTTCCAATTTTATCACAAACCCCGCCATTTGAACAGGAGTGCGTTTATATCCACGGCATGCATTTTCACTTACAACGCACAGCTACATGTAGCACATTAAAGTGCAAGTTGTGCTGTTAAACCACACAAACACTGTAAAAAGTGCTTTTTTGTCATATTTTATTAGGTTTTTTTTCGCTTTCATATTCAAGTATGTGGATACACAGATCCATCAAACACAATCAATAGCAAATAATTGAAAATTCTTTTTTTTTATTTGAAACACAAACCTTCAAAACGCTCCACACCCCTTACTTGCATTTCTCCCACCACTGGCTAAGACACATAGAACTGCTTGTAAACATGATACAAATCAATCTGCAATTTGTTTAGAAAAGTAATTTAGTAGAAAAATATAGTCTTTTACATAGGTATTTCTTTCTTGGGAATTGTACACAATGTCACAGTATAACATACAGAGAAATGAGACAAATAGCGCTCTGGAAGTTATAAGGCCATTGGTTTTTTTTTTTTTATAGAAATACGAAAAGGACGACCTACAAAAAGTCAGCCAACTGTCCTCTTCATAAGTGAAAACCACCAGGCATGCAAAACTGTATAAGCTGTTTTTTTGTTTTGTATTTCCCCGCGCCCCACCCACAGGTTGGTATAGAAGGTTCTTTTTTTTTTTCAAAAATTGCAGCAACAATCAGGTGTCACTTCTAGGGACAGTGGGCCCACACAACCAGTGTTGGGTGTAATATGCCAGAACAACGAGAAGCATCTCAGAGGTGCTGGACAGGGCCACAATGAAAGGAGCTTGTGACGCGAAGTCGGCCTCCACCCGGCGGAAGGACAGCTGCATGACAGCCAGGGCCAGCAAGCTGTTCTGGACGCCCACCTCAATGCTCACCGTCTTCCTCTGCGGTGGTGCCAGGCCGGCTAGCTTAGCCAGAAGTGCCCCGACCAACAATCCGAGCAAAGGCACCGTCACGCCGACAGCCACAATGGGAGGCCTGACATTGGCCAGTATAGATGCGCCCATTTGGTAGGCCATAAAAATGCCACCAACAATGAGCACAAAGCTAAAGGGCCTAATGAGTGCGAGCAAGACACGAGTGAGGGCGGGCAGGCGTAGCTTGACCAGCATTCCAAGAGAAATGGGGATGGCAATGAAGAGGAGGGTGCCAAGAATCTTCACGAATGGCACATGCAGTGCTGCATGCACCCCGAGCAGACGTCCATACAGAGCTGATGACAGAGGCATGGCTGCCACCGCCACCACTGTAGACACCAGAGTCATGGAGATAGCCAGGGTGACATCTCCTCCAAGCAGTAGACTGTAAAGGTATCCGCCTCCGCCACCCGGGGCGGAGCATGTGATCACCAGGCCCAGTGAGAGCGCTTTGGGTAGCAAGGCCAGCTGAGACACGCTGTATGCATACAATGGCATCACCAGGAACTGACCCAGCACCCCAAGGAACAGAGGCACGGGGCTTTTCAGTAGGGCCTTCAGTACCTCCACCTCTACCTTGCAGCCAAAGGCACACTTGTTGACAAAGATGAGGGGAAGCAGAGCAAATAGCACAGGGTTCTCTGAGAAATGGGAAAGTCCACCTGACTGGATGACTTGTGTGGCGGGGTCATCACTCCCAGGGGCCACCACGATGCAATAATCTGTCCTCTCCTCGATCAGAACGGGCATCGAATCCTGGTTCTCTTCCAACAGTTGGATTTCCAGCTGAGCCTTTCCTGGGAAACCAGAGTGGATACTGATAATGTAGTTCCTTGCAGGTCCCGCATGGCCACCGTCTGTCACATTCAAGATGGAGAGGACCTCTGGGTCTAAGGAGCGCACTTTCACAGTCTGTTTCCAGCTCTTTCGGCTGTTGTATTGGCTGGAGATTACAATCACGCCCTTGGTGTTTTCAGGAAACTCGAATTCCTGTGACGAACCGTCCCCAATGGCGATATACCTGCTGCTATCCGCCGTCAAACTGGAGGGGTTGCTGCGGTTGATGGTCTGATTTACCGTGACCCACGCCCAGTCTGCTTCGCCGGTAACAAGGAAAAAACAGCAGAAGGTAAATAGCGTCCTCATTGTATTCAACGACAGGCGCCGCAGAGAAACACTTTTCTCCACCAGCACCCTCCGCTCCCCTGCCCTGCCACGCTGTTACTCCGCGACGTCAAACAATGACATTGTTGTCTCCGGTGTAAAACAAGAGCGTTAAATAGGGATCGACATCGCGTCCGTCTCCCGTTTCATCATCGCGGCCATCATACCGGAACCCAAACATCAGCCCGCCCTGTCCAGTCAGAGACGTGCGCATCGACAGGCAACAGCACACAGGAAATACAGCAGACGCGTAGGTTCCTCTTTTGAGGTTGTCATTTCGCTCTTGTCGTCGCAAAAATGTCCGACTCGAGCAACCGACATATCCCGTAACCCTTAATCTTTCGTAAATTTAAGGAATCATATGCAGTGCTTGCTTGCGTTGAGTGGAAGTTCCGGTTTGTGCTTTCCAAAATAAAGCAACTTTTAAAGAGCGAATTGTGTTCAAACAATAGCGTTTCGAAAAACAAACTGATATGTAAGGGCAGCTCTCAAATTTTAACAGCCCCTTTTGTAAAGTAACATTGGGATTGTAAATGATCACTTATAAATATTCTTGGTCAGAAGCACAACGAATTGGATTCCAAGGGCGTAGCCAGATAATTTTCAGTCGATTGCCAAGGTGACATAACACCTCAGTGATGGCTTAACAAAGGTGGGGGTTGTTCATGGGTGTGTCATTCTTTATCATACCATCCACAGTCAGGGTTTCATGAAATAAAATTCACGCATATTAAGAACAAAGCCCAACGCACTCACGATCAAGCAAGAACAAGAAGCTACGTTTTGCTCTACTTCATTCACTAGAAAATGCCGTTTTCTTTGCTTTTGTGTACTCTTTCATAGTCTCTTGCACTGATTCACGAGCGAACAGACACTTACAGGGATCAACTGTCACCAATGAATCGTGGATGATATCTCAAAAGCACAAAGCACAAACATCTTTTAGCTCTTCAGAATACAAAACATTGCTTTTTACTTGCTTTTGTTATGAGTGTGCTGGGCAATATTGGTACAAAGCCAGTTCCAATGAAGCTGTGACCTTATGTTAAACATAAATAAAAACAGACTGAAATTATTTGGAAATCATGCTAAACCTATACTTAATTGAATGCACTTCAAAGACAAGATATCTAATCTTCAAACTGGTAAACTTTGTTGTTTTTAGCAAATAATCATTTTTAATTTTATTTTATGGGTGCAGCACTTTCCCAAAAAGATGGGACGGGGTCATGTTTGGGAACAGAGGACATTAAATGTTGAAGATTTGTAGGTGGATTTTTTTTTCTTATTCTTGCTTGATGTACAGTTTCAGCTGTTCAACAACATGGGGTCTTTGTTGTCATATTTTGGCTCCGAAGATGGCGCTGTTGTTGGCAACCGTTTTCAAGTGCTCTGCTGTTTTTTTGTCAACACGAGTTCTTGAAAAAGTTGTCTACTTCTGATTGGTGGGTTCATGAGATTTCTATAGAAATGATCCATTCATCCATCCATCCATCCACACATTTTCCAATCTGCTTTATCTTCACAATGGAGGCGGTGGGTGCTGGAGCCTATCCCAGCTGTCTTCAGGCAGTAGGCGGGGGACACCCTGAATCGCTTGCCAGCCAATCGCAGGGCACACAGAGACGAACATCCATCCGCTCTCACATTCACACCTAGGGACAATTTTGAGTAGTCCATTAACCTGTTTTTGGAATGTGTGAGGAGACCGGAGTACCCAGAGAAAACCCACACGTGCTAACCAGTCAACCACCGGGCCGCCGAGATTAATCTTAATATAAGAATATTACGTGTGAAAAATTACAAATTTTTGGAATGTACAAATGTTCGGAAAAAATGGTTCCCTAGTTGAATTCAATGATCTGAACATTTTGCATTTTGAGTTGCAAGTTGCTTGAATGATAGTCTTATTGAAAATGAATGCTGTTTTTGTGGGTAAAAAAAAAATTAGAATTTTGGGAAAACTAAAAAAAAAAAAAAAAAAAAAAAAAAAAAAAAAAAAAAAAAAAAAGTCCCCATGCCGTGAATCTTTGGAATACTTTGACATTAGAATGGTTTAATAGGATGAAAAATGTAGAAATTAGGATTTTTTTTTTGTTTGGGTATTAAAAATGTTGTGGGTACTTTAATGGGAAAAATAATCAGTTTTTAGTAGTGATTAATTTTTAGTATGAGATGAACAATTTGAAGTTGGAACGGGTTTAATCAGAAAAAAAAATTGGAGGAGAAACACTAAAAAAATTTTTTTAAATATTTTTGTGGGTATTTTCATTTCTAAAAATGCTGACATTTTGGTTAAGTTGGAGTTTTATGATTATTATTTTTAAATTAGGGGTAGTGGTCCACGATTTTGAATTTATCCATTCACTGATTAATCGCCGGAGGTGTGAGTGTGAGCGCGGATGGTTGTTCGTCTCTGTGTGCCGTGATTGGCTGCCAATCGGTTCATTTGTCCCCTTTCTACTGCCCGAAGACAGCTGGGATATGCTCCAGCATGCCCCGCGACCCTTGTGAGGATAAAGCAATCCAGAAAATGGATGGATGGATGATTAATCAACAAAATGATTGACAGATCAATTTTTTAAATAATTGTTAGCAGAGTACTTTTACATTTTATTACTTTAAGGATGCCTCATAGCAATAATTGTGTGGAAAAAAAAAGCTACACAATTTAAATAGGACTACAGACCACCAATAGTGAATCCTGGCATAGAATTGACGTCTTTTGAAATGCTTTGGAGAGGAAAACAAAACAAACATTCTTGAAAAAATGCTGAAACACTTCCAATATGTATTTTCCATGTAATATGAGACCTGGATATAAAGTTAAATGAGTGGAACATAGATGACTATACCATAACCATCGACACACTAAACACTGAAATCAAATGAAAGTCTGTACAGGAGGTTAATATTTTATTTTTGCCAGACAAACAAAAGTGCTGGAAGGATGAAGTTCCTCAGTATAAATGACACCGCCCTTGTAAAAATGCACAACTGAAAGACAGGAAACAGAGGCCAGTGGTAAAGCTGCTAAGTCACAAGTCAAGACAGCTTCTTTCCTGGCTTCTGCTCTTGCAAGTTTCAAAGAAAGAATACTTTAAGATAAACATCCATGATTAACAAAACAACAACAAAACCAAACTTCTGTTTAAAACAAAACATTCAGATGCCTTTAAAAACAATCTGCTCACCTAAAATTTCACTCAAGGTTACAGCTTCCAAATGATTTGTTTGAATTCCATGTTAAACTCCCCACAAAATACAACTGATTAAATGGGGATATTCACAAAAAAAAACAAAAAAACCCTAAACTAAAAACATGATTGTGTGTTCATCTGACGCCCAGAGCAAGCTGTCGTCAGTTCTCGTGCTAAGGTGCTGTTGGCAAAACATCTCTTCCTTACTTGGACAAAAAGTGTACAGTGTTCAGCTCGCACCTGTCTCTTTCAATAGTCCTTCAGGCACTTTAAAGCACTTCAATCCAGAGTAAGTTAGTTAACGCAGAAGATGGAGATCATGGCATGTGTGTTAATTAACAACAAATAAAATCAAACATGTCTCACTGAAGTGTAATATTTGGAACGTGGATGGATGTGATGAGAGGAGACACCCAACTGCTTTTCCAAACAGATACAAAGGCCAAAAATGTCTGACCAAAGCCAGGTACACAACAGTAAAATACGTCCCACTCCCGTATAATCACTTAAGTTGCTTTTGTGAATTAAAAGTTTTCATCTTTATTGTTGTCATTACACAGTTAAAGTACACCCGGAATCAATTTGCAAATGGCATACAAGGGTGGGGGCACACAACCGTTCGGTCAAAACAAGGAAATGTGAAGGTTGATACTCCTTTCTTGTAGGAAGACCTCAGGACAAATACCACCACTGCCACCATCAAGTGTGTCTTTTTTCCCACGCAGCTGAGTTAAGTGACCTTTCAGTTCCGCAGAGCAGCCAGCCTGCAACATGAAAAAGATGGTAAAGCTTAAAGTGCAAAAAATAAGAAATCGGGAAAAAATAAAAAGTTAATTTCAAACCAGAAACAAGAGGAGAACATCTTCATTCAAATCAAATTAATTCAGTCGACCTCAAAAACCTTTGGTAAATTATTATTGTCATGTAACAAAGAACTGAACATATACCGCCAAGATGTACAGTTGGGCTCATACGGTAAGTTTACATTCCCTGTTAAAATTTGTAAAATACAGTTTTGGCGGTTTATTCATTTTAAATATGCCTGAAAAGGGAACTTGTTATTATTATTTTCTTTACTGGTATGCTTTGTTTCATGAATGTCCTTGGCTGTGAAATAGCTTATATGTTGCAGCTTCGAGACACAAAGAACTAAGGGGTTGTCTTGAAAGTAGATATTTTATTTTTCAAACTCCTAAAAAATACAAGCACGTCCCCCCTTCTGCACCGTGCCTCCTCTGCTCTAGTCGGTTCAAGAGGTGTTCAAAATCCACCTCAGAAAAACGTTAATTCGTGATACCTTCAATGGCAATAAGAAAAATCTGTGAAATGCAACAATACAGAAAATCCAGCAAAACATTTCAATCCATCCGTCCACTTTCTACCGCTTATCCAGGGTCGGGTCGGGTCAACAGCTTTAGCAGCGAAGCCCAGACTTCCCTCTCCCCAGCTACTTGTTCCAGCTCTTCCCGGGGGATCCCAAGGCCTTCCCAGGCCAGCTGGGTGACATAGTCTCTCCAGCGTGTCCCGGGTCGTCCCCCGGGGTCTCCTGCCAGTGGGACATGCCCGGAACACCTCACCAGGGAGGCGTCCAGGAGGCATCCTAATCAGATGCCCAAGCCACCTCATCTGCCTCCTCTCCACATGGAGGAGAAGCGGCTCGACTCTGAGCCCCTCCCGGATGACCGAGTTTCTCACCTCATCTCTAAGGGAGAGCGCAGACACCCTGCGGAGAAAACTCATTTCGGCCGCTTGTATCCGGGATCTCGTTCTTTTGGTCACGACCCATAGCTCATGACCATAGATGAGTGTTGGAACGTAGATCGACCGGTAAATTGAGAGCTTCACACTTTGGCTCAGCTCCTTCTTTACCACGACAGACCGATACAAAGTCCGCATCACGGCAGAAGCTGCACCGATCCGCCTGTCGATCTCTCGCTCCCTCCTGCCCTCACTCGTGAACAAGACCCCAAGATACTTAAACTCCTCCACTTGGGGCAAGATCTCATCCCCGACCCGGAGAGGACATTCCGCCCTTTTCCGACTGAGGACAATTGTTTCAGATTTGGAGGTGCGCTTCACACTCAGCTGCAAACTGCTCCAGTTTGAGTTGGAGATCCCGGCTTGAAAAAGCCAAGATATCGTCTGCAAAAAGCAGAGATGCAATACTGAGGCCACGAAACTGGACCCCCTCAAGCCCTTGGCTGCACCTAGAAATTCTGTCCACAAAATGTGACCTCTATAAAAGGCTAACTGGGGCGAAACTTCAAAGAAAATGTAAAAAAAAAGAAAAAAAAAAAAGCATATTGTTTGATTTTTCAAGGGATTTTTTTTTGTAGGCCTGTTACATACGTCATCAAATTTTTGTAGTCTAGGTTTGACTGGTGGGAACTAGTGAGACATTTTTCAAAAACTCCACAATAAACTAATGAAATATTGATGATTTTGCCAGAATGATGTGTTTGCAAAGTTTCATGAGTTTTCGTGCATTTAGACCCTCAAAATTAGTGTTGTCTTCTTGGCGAATTGCACTCTTCCTAGCAAATATCAACTAGAGCTGGTTAACCTGCTCGGAGATAAACATCAAAGAAAAAAAACATTTATCTCCTGTAGCCAGTAGGTGGCATTACCACTACGATGGAAAAAAAAAGTTTGTAACGTATTCATGTCTAGACTTTTATCAAACAAGTGACAGAAGATAGGATAATCTGGGTGAAGTTTGTGACCATATGTGAGGGTAGGACTGTAGATCGACTGGTAAATCAAGAGCTTCGACTTTCGCCTCAGCTTCTTCTTCACCATGACAGACCGATCCAGAGTCCTCATCACAGCAGACAGCTTGTCTATCTCACACTCCCTCTACCCTCAGTCGTGAACAAGACCCCAAGATACTTAAACTCCTCCACTTGGGGCAAGATATCTCATCCTCGACCTGAAGAGGGCACTCCACCCTTTTTTGACTGAGGACTACGGTCTCAGATTTGAAGGTGGTGATTTTCATCCCAACCAGTTCAAACTCTGTGGCGAACTGCCCCAGTGAGTGTTGGGATCACGGCTTCAAGAAGCCATCAGTACCACATTATCTGCAAAATGGAGAGATGCAATACTGAGGCCACCAAACCAGACCCCCTCAACGCCTCGACTGGGACCAGAACCAGTGAGAAAGGGCAGCCATGGCAGAGTCCAACACTGACTGGAACCAAATTCAACTTACTACTGGCAGTGCGGACCAAACTCAACGGTGGTAGAGGGACCGAACAGCCCGTACAAGGGGGCTTAGTACTCCTGAAGCACCCGCCCAGATCACTACCTGAGGGACACGGTGGAACGCCTTCTCTCAGTCTACATGAACACAGATTGGTTGGGCGAACTCCCATACCCCTTTGAGAACTGTGCTGTGGGTGTAGAGCTGGTCCACTGTTCCACGGTCGGGAATAAAACCATATTGCTCCTCTTGAATCAAAGATTCGACCTTCCGACGGACCCTCCTCTCCAGCACCCTTGAATAGACCTTACCAGTGAGGCTGAGGAGTGTGATTCCGCTGTCGTTGGAACACACTCCCCGGTCCACATTTTTGAAAAGAGGGACCACCACCCCGGTCTGCCAATCCAGAGGCACTGTCCCCGTTGCACTGTATCTGATGTTGTTGAGGTGTGTCAACCAGGCAAGCCCCAATATATCTCATCCACCTCTGGGGCTTTGCCAACAAGGATCTTTGTTACCACATCGGTTACTTCAACCCCAGACATAGGAGAGCCCACCTCAGAGTCTCCAGGTTCTGTTTCCTCAATGGAAGGAATGTCGGTGAAATGGAGGAGGTCTTCAGAGTATTCTGACCACTGACTCACAACGTCCCGAGTCGAGGTCAGCAGCACCCCATCTATACTATACAAAGTGTTAATGGTGCACTGCTTTCCTCTCCTGTGACGCCGGAGGGTAGACCAGAATTTCTTTAAAGCCTTCTGTAAGTCATTTTCCGTGGCCTCGCTGAACTCCTCCCACACCTGAGTTTTTGCGTCAGCGACCGGCAAAGCTGCATCCCGCTTGGCCTGCCAGTACCTGTCAGCAGTTTCCGGTGTCCCACAGACCAGAAAGGCCGGATAGGATTCAGCTCAATGGCATCCCTTACCACTGGCGTCCACCAGTGGGTTCAGGGATTGCCGGCATGACAGGCACTGACCACCTTAATACAAAACATCTTTATTTATAGAGTGCTTTCACAACAGCTACAGCTGTAACAAAGCGTTTTACAAAACAGTCAACATACAATAACAAAATAAAATAACACATAAGAAAGCGCTGTATAAATAAAGATTTATTGTATTGTATAAAATAAAACATGGACAGTCATGCAATCTTAACCATTTTGTTGCATACACTTTGTTGTTTGAAGCAGTTCAAGATGAAAGAGAAGAGAATCTTTCCTTTCACCAGTGAATCAGAGATGTCATGCTCTAAAGGTACACACGTCGGCTACAAGCTAAGTTTGAAAGTAAAAAAGAAGCTGTAGCGTCCATTGATGAAAAAAAAAAGAGCTTGGTTCACTTCTACTGTCCGATGTAAATTCATTTCAATTCCAAGCTCCATGTTAAACTCCCCACAAAATACAACTGATTAAATGGGGATATTCACAAAAAAAAACAAAAAAACCCTAAACTAAAAACATGATTGTGTGTTCATCTGACGCCCAGAGCAAGCTGTCGTCAGTTCTCGTGCTAAGGTGCTGTTGGCAAAACATCTCTTCCTTACTTGGACAAAAAGTGTACAGTGTTCAGCTCGCACCTGTCTCTTTCAATAGTCCTTCAGGCACTTTAAAGCACTTCAATCCAGAGTAAGTTAGTTAACGCAGAAGATGGAGATCATGGCATGTGTGTTAATTAACAACAAATAAAATCAAACATGTCTCACTGAAGTGTAATATTTGGAACGTGGATGGATGTGATGAGAGGAGACACCCAACTGCTTTTCCAAACAGATACAAAGGCCAAAAATGTCTGACCAAAGCCAGGTACACAACAGTAAAATACGTCCCACTCCCGTATAATCACTTAAGTTGCTTTTGTGAATTAAAAGTTTTCATCTTTATTGTTGTCATTACACAGTTAAAGTACACCCGGAATCAATTTGCAAATGGCATACAAGGGTGGGGGCACACAACCGTTCGGTCAAAACAAGGAAATGTGAAGGTTGATACTCCTTTCTTGTAGGAAGACCTCAGGACAAATACCACCACTGCCACCATCAAGTGTGTCTTTTTTCCCACGCAGCTGAGTTAAGTGACCTTTCAGTTCCGCAGAGCAGCCAGCCTGCAACATGAAAAAGATGGTAAAGCTTAAAGTGCAAAAAATAAGAAATCGGGAAAAAATAAAAAGTTAATTTCAAACCAGAAACAAGAGGAGAACATCTTCATTCAAATCAAATTAATTCAGTCGACCTCAAAAACCTTTGGTAAATTATTATTGTCATGTAACAAAGAACTGAACATATACCGCCAAGATGTACAGTTGGGCTCATACGGTAAGTTTACATTCCCTGTTAAAATTTGTAAAATACAGTTTTGGCGGTTTATTCATTTTAAATATGCCTGAAAAGGGAACTTGTTATTATTATTTTCTTTACTGGTATGCTTTGTTTCATGAATGTCCTTGGCTGTGAAATAGCTTATATGTTGCAGCTTCGAGACACAAAGAACTAAGGGGTTGTCTTGAAAGTAGATATTTTATTTTTCAAACTCCTAAAAAATACAAGCACGTCCCCCCTTCTGCACCGTGCCTCCTCTGCTCTAGTCGGTTCAAGAGGTGTTCAAAATCCACCTCAGAAAAACGTTAATTCGTGATACCTTCAATGGCAATAAGAAAAATCTGTGAAATGCAACAATACAGAAAATCCAGCAAAACATTTCAATCCATCCGTCCACTTTCTACCGCTTATCCAGGGTCGGGTCGGGTCAACAGCTTTAGCAGCGAAGCCCAGACTTCCCTCTCCCCAGCTACTTGTTCCAGCTCTTCCCGGGGGATCCCAAGGCCTTCCCAGGCCAGCTGGGTGACATAGTCTCTCCAGCGTGTCCCGGGTCGTCCCCCGGGGTCTCCTGCCAGTGGGACATGCCCGGAACACCTCACCAGGGAGGCGTCCAGGAGGCATCCTAATCAGATGCCCAAGCCACCTCATCTGCCTCCTCTCCACATGGAGGAGAAGCGGCTCGACTCTGAGCCCCTCCCGGATGACCGAGTTTCTCACCTCATCTCTAAGGGAGAGCGCAGACACCCTGCGGAGAAAACTCATTTCGGCCGCTTGTATCCGGGATCTCGTTCTTTTGGTCACGACCCATAGCTCATGACCATAGATGAGTGTTGGAACGTAGATCGACCGGTAAATTGAGAGCTTCACACTTTGGCTCAGCTCCTTCTTTACCACGACAGACCGATACAAAGTCCGCATCACGGCAGAAGCTGCACCGATCCGCCTGTCGATCTCTCGCTCCCTCCTGCCCTCACTCGTGAACAAGACCCCAAGATACTTAAACTCCTCCACTTGGGGCAAGATCTCATCCCCGACCCGGAGAGGACATTCCGCCCTTTTCCGACTGAGGACAATTGTTTCAGATTTGGAGGTGCGCTTCACACTCAGCTGCAAACTGCTCCAGTTTGAGTTGGAGATCCCGGCTTGAAAAAGCCAAGATATCGTCTGCAAAAAGCAGAGATGCAATACTGAGGCCACGAAACTGGACCCCCTCAAGCCCTTGGCTGCACCTAGAAATTCTGTCCACAAAATGTGACCTCTATAAAAGGCTAACTGGGGCGAAACTTCAAAGAAAATGTAAAAAAAAAGAAAAAAAAAAAAGCATATTGTTTGATTTTTCAAGGGATTTTTTTTTGTAGGCCTGTTACATACGTCATCAAATTTTTGTAGTCTAGGTTTGACTGGTGGGAACTAGTGAGACATTTTTCAAAAACTCCACAATAAACTAATGAAATATTGATGATTTTGCCAGAATGATGTGTTTGCAAAGTTTCATGAGTTTTCGTGCATTTAGACCCTCAAAATTAGTGTTGTCTTCTTGGCGAATTGCACTCTTCCTAGCAAATATCAACTAGAGCTGGTTAACCTGCTCGGAGATAAACATCAAAGAAAAAAAACATTTATCTCCTGTAGCCAGTAGGTGGCATTACCACTACGATGGAAAAAAAAAGTTTGTAACGTATTCATGTCTAGACTTTTATCAAACAAGTGACAGAAGATAGGATAATCTGGGTGAAGTTTGTGACCATATGTGAGGGTAGGACTGTAGATCGACTGGTAAATCAAGAGCTTCGACTTTCGCCTCAGCTTCTTCTTCACCATGACAGACCGATCCAGAGTCCTCATCACAGCAGACAGCTTGTCTATCTCACACTCCCTCTACCCTCAGTCGTGAACAAGACCCCAAGATACTTAAACTCCTCCACTTGGGGCAAGATATCTCATCCTCGACCTGAAGAGGGCACTCCACCCTTTTTTGACTGAGGACTACGGTCTCAGATTTGAAGGTGGTGATTTTCATCCCAACCAGTTCAAACTCTGTGGCGAACTGCCCCAGTGAGTGTTGGGATCACGGCTTCAAGAAGCCATCAGTACCACATTATCTGCAAAATGGAGAGATGCAATACTGAGGCCACCAAACCAGACCCCCTCAACGCCTCGACTGGGACCAGAACCAGTGAGAAAGGGCAGCCATGGCAGAGTCCAACACTGACTGGAACCAAATTCAACTTACTACTGGCAGTGCGGACCAAACTCAACGGTGGTAGAGGGACCGAACAGCCCGTACAAGGGGGCTTAGTACTCCTGAAGCACCCGCCCAGATCACTACCTGAGGGACACGGTGGAACGCCTTCTCTCAGTCTACATGAACACAGATTGGTTGGGCGAACTCCCATACCCCTTTGAGAACTGTGCTGTGGGTGTAGAGCTGGTCCACTGTTCCACGGCATAAAACCATATTGCTCCTCTTGAATCAAAGATTCGACCTTCCGACGGACCCTCCTCTCCAGCACCCTTGAATAGACCTTACCAGTGAGGCTGAGGAGTGTGATTCCGCTGTCGTTGGAACACACTCCCCGGTCCACATTTTTGAAAAGAGGGACCACCACCCCGGTCTGCCAATCCAGAGGCACTGTCCCCGTTGCACTGTATCTGATGTTGTTGAGGTGTGTCAACCAGGCAAGCCCCAATATATCTCATCCACCTCTGGGGCTTTGCCAACAAGGATCTTTGTTACCACATCGGTTACTTCGACCCCAGACATAGGAGAGCCCACCTCAGAGTCTCCAGGTTCTGTTTCCTCAATGGAAGGAATGTCGGTGAAATGGAGGAGGTCTTCAGAGTATTCTGACCACTGACTCACAACGTCCCGAGTCGAGGTCAGCAGCACCCCATCTATACTATACAAAGTGTTAATGGTGCACTGCTTTCCTCTCCTGTGACGCCGGAGGGTAGACCAGAATTTCTTTAAAGCCTTCTGTAAGTCATTTTCCGTGGCCTCGCTGAACTCCTCCCACACCTGAGTTTTTGCGTCAGCGACCGGCAAAGCTGCATCCCGCTTGGCCTGCCAGTACCTGTCAGCAGTTTCCGGTGTCCCACAGACCAGAAAGGCCGGATAGGATTCAGCTCAATGGCATCCCTTACCACTGGCGTCCACCAGTGGGTTCAGGGATTGCCGGCATGACAGGCACTGACCACCTTAATACAAAACATCTTTATTTATAGAGTGCTTTCACAACAGCTACAGCTGTAACAAAGCGTTTTACAAAACAGTCAACATACAATAACAAAATAAAATAACACATAAGAAAGCGCTGTATAAATAAAGATTTATTGTATTGTATAAAATAAAACATGGACAGTCATGCAATCTTAACCATTTTGTTGCATACACTTTGTTGTTTGAAGCAGTTCAAGATGAAAGAGAAGAGAATCTTTCCTTTCACCAGTGAATCAGAGATGTCATGCTCTAAAGGTACACACGTCGGCTACAAGCTAAGTTTGAAAGTAAAAAAGAAGCTGTAGCGTCCATTGATGAAAAAAAAAGAGCTTGGTTCACTTCTACTGTCCGATGTAAATTCATTTCAATTCCAAGCTGTGACTACCAGTTCCAAATACGCATCCTCATCCTTGGATCCACAAGCCATCCATCCAACCACACCAGCACAGACTGTCCAACAGCGCCAAAATCTCCGCTAAACAAAACATGGCTGTAAAAAAATGTTGCCCATTACAGGCGCAAAAAACACAAGCGGCCCAGTGCTGTCCAGCGGGGACGGGCAAATAAGCGTCGACATTCCTACCAATCAAAATCAGTGCTGGTACATGCGCGCTGCCGAGAAAGCGCAACCACCAAGCACATATTCTTCTTTGATGAATGTTGTGGCCAAAAACGCTGAAAACAGTATACACTGGGTTCACACGAAGTACAGGCGCTCCCCGATTTACGAACATTCATGTTACGAACAACGGTACATACGAACATTTTTGCGGGTACAGTTATGTTGAAAAATGTTCTCAGACAGAGATGCTGTAAGTTAGATTTTGTATTGCGCGCCTTTTTCCGAGTACTGTAGTACTTCTTTCCGCCGCTAATACCGACGTGAGGCGCTGTGAGAGGAGGAGGAGGAGGAGGAGGAGGAAACGCCTGTCCCCATGAAGAAGTTTGAGATGGAACTCTTGGCCGAGGGGTTTTTGCTCATAGATAAAGCCATCGCACACTTCGAGCAGCAAGACCCAAATATTGAACGTTGCACAAAAGTTGCAAATCAAATGAATGATGCCATACAGTGCTACTGCATCATTTATGATGAGAAAAAGAAGAAAACTGCAATCGTCCATCATCTCCTTAAGCTTTCGAGTACATCTTCCAAAAGCAAGTTCAACTTCATTTTATTATACTTATATAAACCTTAAACATACTTATATAAGCCTTAAACATACATTCCATACAAAATATAGCACTGAAGCAACTTACGAACGAATTCAGCTAACGAACAATCCTACGGAACGTAACTCGTTCATTAGCTGGGGAGCGTCTGTAACAGCAAACACCGTGTGACAAAACAAAACAAAAAAACCAAAAAAAAAAAAAAAAAAAAAAAATCGATGCGGAAAATGTGTTACAGTTGTATCTCGGTTTTCGACCATAATCCGTTTCAGAAGGCTGTTCAAAAACCGATTTGTTCAAAAACCGAAACCGCGCTCTTTTAAAAAAAATTATCTTGATTGAACACGTTTGCTCACAATGGAATGCTACACGAGGAAGTGCCCCTTCCTTGTCTACCCGAGGAAGTGTCACTTCCTCGTGTAAGGAAGGCGGGAGGAGTCAAGTGGCGCATTCAAATGCGCTCAGTTTGGTCGAGAACTGATTTTCGGTCGTAATCCAAGGCATAAAAAATTGATTTGGTCAAGAACAGAGACGTTCGAAAACCGAGGTTTGACTGTATTTTGTTTTTAGAACTTCCTGACAGCCATCACCATGAACAAAGTCAGCAATAAATTCAAAATAATTAAATTCGCATTGAACTGCAACTGTGATTTAATGATAAATAACCATTGTGTTACAACAGAATTGTTTGCATGCATGTGTGAGTGTTAATTGCATCGTGTATGTTGTTTTGTACCAATTTGTCCACGCATGACCATCGTAAAGAAAAGCGGTTCAGAATTTGGATGATGTGTTGTGTTAACCACTCCCCTCTGCACATGGCGATGGTTGTGTATGCATTGACGCACAACGGCCAGCGATATGAACTATTCCTGAATCGCGTTTTGTAGATCCACATACATTATGTTCATTGAATGAATTTTTATAAATCCACAAAGAGATGGGTACACTCAACAAAGACGCATGTTCCGACCGAAATAGTATAGTCTCGCCAGCCCATTCAAATGAATAGACCGGCGACGCATGGGCTGCTTCTATATTTTTAGAAACAAGCTCTGCCATTTTATGCATTTGTAATTTTTAATTTATAAATATGGTTGCGTAATGTTATAAACCACACTATATGTGTACCATTCATACAGACAGTGAACTCGGAAGTTTATTTCTTGCTTGTGTGCTGTTTAGCCAGGAGCGGTTGCGTGTCTCCCTCAGTGGCTCTGTTTGTGTCCTTCCTCATTCTCACCTGTTGCAATGTCATTATCTGCTGGTTTTAACTGTCGATCAACGCCAAACTTGAAAGGAGAAATGTGGTTGGTTGAATTGAGATTTACATGGAACACAAGCGTGGCAAGGTCACATCACTGATATTGTCCTCATTTCGATATTAATATACTGAACGTTCATGTCTGGATTTTGATACGATAAAGATATATCGCCCAGCTCTAATCTAATTTATGAATTTACAGGTATATGAGAGACAGAGAGAAACAATGAATATGGAATAATGCTTCTTTTTGTAACTTAATGGTAACCATGCATGTGTAGCGAGCAAAAAACAGCAAGTTCCCCTCACGAATACTGACCGTCTGGAAAGCTGGTCTTCCTTCTCTTGGCTGCGTGAACTTTCTGCACCCACTGAGGTGGCTCCTGCAGGCAATTTGCTGAGTTGGTCCATCACCTCCAGGCCACTTTCCTCCGCTATTTGGTGGATCAAGTCATCCACCTGTTCTTGTGGTGTTGTCAGTGTCATTGCAGAGCTCATGGAGTCCTCCATTACCTGGTGTTGTGAAAAGAAACACAAATTGAACTAGACATAACCAGAGGTCCTCAAAAGCCTTGAGTGGAACGTCTGCAAAGATAGTTAAAAAGCACACCAAAATGCTTGATCACAGCACAGACAAGAAACAAAAGGCTGTACAGAGGCACTAACTTACTGAGGTGTGGACATCAAGGTTCTGGACTTGGCTTTCAAATTTATCCATGACAGCAGAGACCTTTTGAAGATCCATAGAATTCAGCGCTTTGTCAAGAGCCTTGGTCACCTGGCTCATGTTTTTAGTCACCTGTGAGAGAAAGCATATGTAGGATGTATTATTATTATTATTTCTATCTGTCAAAAACACAAATATAACAAAAGCTGTGAGCAACTGTAATGGGCCCCCGCGGCCCTGGCCACGTTGGGATACTGGCATGATGGGGGACTGGCACAATAGAATTGGAATTTTGGGAAAATGGCACAATAAACCTTGAAACACAGGGGTCTCAACCTCAACTTATGCAGTGGTCGCTGGAGATAGATTCTGGGTGTGCCCGGGAGATATGGCCTAAAATGCATATTACGCTGTATCAACTGCATCCCTTTACATCAGTGGTCCTCAACTAGAAATGCTGTAGGTCCACTTTTTTTTTTTTTTTTAATAAGACCAAGGTCCGGTCCCATGCACGGCGGTCATGGGGAGCAGGGCTATATGCCCATTTAGTATGGTTAAGCCAAGCTTATACAAATCAACACTCCTCACAACCAACCAATAATGGGGTGCATGAAAATAACAATTATTCACTTTGCCAGTACACAGCAAATAATGAGAGGTATTGTGTTGAGGCACAGGAACTCTTTTATTTTGTTAAGTTGTGCCTGCTTAATAATAGAAATAGCCCTTTTAGGGAAATAAGACAATTTTTACTTTAACTTTGTGAAACAGTAGCTGTCTTTTTTTCCCTTAATTTAACAAAACAATTTAACAAAATACTCATTTTACCAAAATAAATACTAAACATGAAAACAAAAATATCCTTTTCATTTGTACAAT